TGGAGATCGTAATATTTATACCATAACTAGGGTAGAAACGGCATGTTACTAAATTGGGAGCGGCTAGGAAAAAAAAATCAATACCCAAAGAAATTTCAATATCATCCTGATCAGTCCTGACTATTTTGTGTACAAACCTTCTCCTTATGGGTTGAATAACATAACACGTATAAACCATAATCCAGGCCTAGACGTACTAAGACTTAAAAGTACACTTTGGTGTTAACGAAAGCTTAATGTACCATCCAAAACAAATTTTAGGTCACCCACCCAATCCAATCCATTAAGAAATATGCTTACCATGCAATATCTTAGGCCGAAGACAAACTATTGCGCCATCGAGTTCTTTCCTCAATAAAATAAATAAACATTAGCTTATCTTGCATACTGTATTTGACTAAAAAATTTAAGCAGTAATTTATATTCTAATTCTACTTCAGAAATACATTTTGTAGTAACCTGTAATTTCAAATTATTGAGATAATATTAAAATAATAATTTCGTGTTCCATACCCGTCTCACCATCTCAAACAGGATTTATTATAATAAAACAACGTGGAAGAGCGATTGCCTCAGTGTCTGAAAAGTTCGAAATCCAAACGTGTCTGTTACAAAAGTTCGTTTCAACTTCGTTACTTAAATTTGTTTGGTCGTAGCCAATTCATAGAACTGAACGGGTAATCAACGTGACTACGAGTCTGCTACGACCGTAGCTATGCTACGGGATCATTAAAACTCGAAACTTCATGAACTTGAAAATAACAAATACATGAGTATTTTGTTCGGCGTTATAACTGTTTACTTAGAAGTTTTAGGATAAACAAATGTGTTATAGTTACATTATATGTGTTATATTACTCCGTAACTGATACGTGGATGTATCGATGGATGTACGTTGGTATCAAAATTTCATCGTCTTCTGAACAGGTAACAGTAACAGTGGTAGGTAAAAATGGTTTACCATATAAAAGTACTTTAAATAAGTTAATTCGAATAAAGATATTTTGACTTCGGCTTTGATGGTAGAACATAGTCTGGAATTCGGTTCCCGGCCGAGTCGACATAGAAAACGATCTTCAAGTTGTTTCAAATTTTGAACAATGGTTTACTTAGTTAATCTGACAATTTTTTTATACAAATACATTACTAATAAGAACAAACCAATTTAGTTTATGGATTTGTCCGAAAATACGAAAATATTCTCTTAATAATAGTATTGAGTCTATTGACCCTCACACAATAATCACTAAAATTATTCACTACTTATTTTACGTAATTATAGGATATTCAATATTTGTTTTTTTTTTTATTTATACAAAAAGAATAACTTAATACATTATGGCATGTATATCAGTTCAGACGCCATCATTACTTTCATTATAAATTATATTTGTTTAATGTGCTTAAAATAATGTGCGTTAAGTAATGTATACTGATTTAAGTTTAAATAATATAGTGTAATTTAATCTATTATCCCGACAAATACATCGAAAAAGTTCTTAATGTCTCCGTACCGCAACTGCCCTGCCCAAGAAGTTTAAATTTATTAAACTCTTGGTTCTGCCATATACTGTATCAAAAAGTTTTGAACAAAGCCGCGTGTCTACATACTTATTATCTAACCGCTCGAAAGTGAGCACTGGCACCAAGAGATTTGCGGAGGCTAACTATCGAGCGGCGCACCACGTGACTTATCGATCAGCGCGCACCCGCGACACTCGGAAAAATCAACCGCTGACAGCTTTCATAGGGCACCTCCACCTCTCAGGGCTGCCGCTGTGAACACAGACGCAGTACCGCAGCTGCGCAACGAGTGCGGTAATTTGACGCAGTACACAAGTTCCTCACTATACAAGCCGATTTAAAAAATCTATAATATCTATATAGATATCTTTAAAACTAATAAACTAAGTATTTCTTATACTATATAGTATAAGAAATACTTAGTTAGTATAAGAAATACTTAGTTTATTAGTTTTAAAATCAAGGAGCTGTGTATGCTTTTTTATTTACAGCAATAACATTCTTTAAATTTCTTAGTTGTTTTACGTATTGTTAGCCTTTTATGACCGGAAATAGCTACAATTTCTTGTAATTTCTTTAGCTATTCCTTCAAATAAACTAACTTTAATTAATAAACTAAGTTTAGAAATAATTTAAGTATCTTATTTTAAAGCATCTGGCGTTTCTCTTTTCTTTCTTTAAGTGGACTAGAATAATTCCATTTTTCATCAATGAATATATTTAAATACTATTTTACTGTTACTAGATATGCGTGCGCACAGGGTGATCGAACCGCTACCAAGCGAGGTACTGTATAGATTTGTTTACTGTGCCTCCCTCTCAGGGCCGCGCCGCCCTACCCCGCCCACCCTCGTCCCTCCGACACCCTCCCCGCCCTCATTAGCGCCTTTGTGCCGCTCACTTGTCTTGTAATATGACGCCGTAATGATACCACTTTCAACTTGATTATTTGTCAACGTTCCCTTTAGTTAAGTGTCCCATTCGATCAATAAATAATATTAATACTCGTATACAGCGAAAGGCCCTATCAAGTGTTTAATAAAATTACACAAGTTAATCATTATTTTAAGATTCATAATATAATATGCAAATATTTTTTTTATTCAGTTATTATACACTTCATGTTCAATAAAATTAAGCAAATTGTATTATTAACTCTTTAATTTAATAAAAATTAACTATATATTATGCGATTGTCCAAAATATATAGCGAATAATTTTAATTTAAAACATGTAAAAGCTGCAAAAATAAAAACGAAACTAACTAACTGTTCCGACATAATAACAATGAACGTGAATCATTATCAAAAATCAATAACATTTATTTTTAATCCAATTATTATTAAAAAAATATATCAAACATTTGTTTTCTTTTTTCAAATATCAAAGCTTTTAAAAATTGTTTACAAATTCAAATATTAAACAAATATTTCACTTTTCAAATGTTTTTTCCATATTAAGTTAAGTAAAAGAATAAGGAATAATTTCTAAAAGTACCCTTAATACATACAAAAGTTCCCATAAAAATTATAAAAAACTGTGTGTGACTAATTTATTTTTAAACATTCATTGCAGAACAATTACAGTATAAATATAATTACGACAAAGTTTATCTGTATGTCTCATAGACTGATCACTTTATCTCGCTCCCTCTTCAATTTTATGCCCACTTTTAAATTGTTAGGTAATTAACATTTTTTTGCTCTTAATCGAGTGTAACTTAAAAAAATAAATAAAATACACATAATGAGTGTATGATATATATATTCAAGTTAAAGTTTTATGTATAATCCTTTTTGCACTCGTATTGGAGTACCTGAGGAATTTCTATGAAATTTGGCACCAACAAGTTTTTGGTTAACATTATTGATTACAAACCCAATAAACTGATGAAGTCACGACCTTTCACGACCTAATCATACATAAATCACAATGAACAGATAAGGGCGCTTCACGATCGTAAAGTTTATACATAGTTGATGTTAACACATTTTTTACGCATGATTATAACTATTTCCTTAAGCACATACTTATTTAGATTTAGAATAAAAACAAAATTGTATCAACCATTAAAAAGTAACCGAACAGCAAAGAAATATTTATGTGTAGCTACATCTGTCTCACTCTAATAAAGTCAACGAACGCTACGAATCAACCCAAATCAAAGTGTGAAACAGTTCCACCGTTAGAAACTTTGGAAAATGTTAGACACGAATACTGAATGAAATATTTTCAATCGCTGAATGTTTTGCATCGTAATCCAAACATCGCGGACTGCTCTTCCACTTTAAACTTTATTGTGAGTGTGTATGATTGATATTAGCGTGTAATAAGAGGAATCGTTCGTGAGGGATGCCGACTGTCCTTTGACACTGACCTACATAATTTAAACTCGCCTCTTCGCTTTGTGTTTATAGTATCGTGTTTGTAATGTAATAAATGTATTATATTTCGTTGGGATCTAGCGTACGTGACTTTTTTATCTCTGTGAAATATATCATCATAATAAGAAGTGTTCAATAAATAAGATTCAAATGCGCAAATAATAACATATTAGTTCTTTGACTTACTGTGTAGTACCTTAAATGATAAAACAAAGATTTAAAATATTTATTGCTGTCATAAAATGGTAATAAATTTATTTTTAAATAAAAATTCCATGTAATTTTAAAAGAAAGAGTATGGTCAGTTTACGTAGTACTCTCCGATAAAAAAAAATAGATAACTTAACTAATACCTCTATGCCTAATACCAAGTACATGTTGGACTTTTATATCACGTCCAATCAATATTTTAATAGTAAACAATAAAACTTTTATGATATCAATGCAAAAGAGAACTGTCACGTACTATGCTATGCTTAATGTATTGTTTTATATTTATGATAGGACAATTTAATGAATAATAGAACATAATAATAGCTTTGAATGGTGCTGAATGATTGAAATTGGACATCTTATTCAGTAGTCAGCCTATTATCAATATTTTATAATGTTATTTTTAGCAAGTTAATACATACACCAGGAAATTCAGATTACAACATAGTCTTCTTTGTAGTCGTACGCTACAAATAAAGGTGTAAATTCAATAGTTATTTAATATGTATGTATATTAAATTAATTAAAAAAATTTTTGATGATTTACAAAAATACGACTACTATTTGAAAAATTAATTCGATAGAAAAAATTATTACTAGTTGGACATAATTATTAAAGTCGTGAAAGAAGAACAAACACATAATCCAATTTGTAAGTAATATGTATAAATTGAGGACGGGTTTCTAAAGCAATACCCATCACTCCGCACTGGGCTTGCGTGGCAGCCCAATCCCCTACTTGATGCCATACATGGAGAAGACCCAGAAGTAGGGAGATTAATATGTTGATGAATTAACAGTAGTAACAAAAAAATCGAGAGATAATCACGAATCTTTTTTGAAGTCGGTTAAAAAAGAACAATACAAAAGGGTACTTACAGTGGGAGTGTGTGGATGTTGTACGGGTAGGAGTGGCCTCTCCCGCCGAGATATGGCGCGTCGCATGCGCACCTCTTTCGTCGCATATGCATAGTCTATGGACAAATAAAGGTTTGTTATTCTGCGTACTTTTAATAATAACAAAGGAAATTTATTTCAATAACCTAAAGCAGATCCTTTCAAATTTTATAATAAAAAAATTGGTTTAAAAATTTTTGTAGTGAAGAATAAAAAAAATTAGACTGAAAGGTCAAAACAAGACTGTGATTTTTAAATATTCTTTCAAAATTTATTTGGCACGGTTTTTATAGTTTCCTAATATTTAAATTAATTTTACCGATGGTCACAATCTGTTAGATAATCCTTAAATGAAATACGTGTAGATATGGTAAGTAATATATGTTTAAAGAGAATTATTCTCGACTGAATCACCGACCGACCAAGCGGTGGACGGGACATGCTTAAATTTGGTATTGTCACAAACATAGGTGAACAATGTCCCGGAATAACAATAGACCTTACGAACGTAAGGTCCATCACCGACTTAACTGGCCGCTGTAAATGGCAGCTTAATTTAAATACAATGAATTAATATTAAAATTTGATTACCATTTTAATTTACATTTCAATATATTTTGTACTACGATACGATTTATTTAGGTAACAAAAACGTACACATAATATCGAAACTATTGTTAACAGATAGAACTACAGTAGGTACCAAATTTAATATAAAATTGCAGTCGCCAATTGTGCATATAATTGACATATCCCAAATAATAAAGACACTTACAATTAGGACACAAATTTTAATATTAATTCGTTAGTGTTACTCATAATCTCGTTTCTTATTGATTTACTGAATGGGTGATTAAAAAAACAAATAGATAGATACAATAATAATAAAACAAATAGATAGATAGATAGGTCTATAAACATAAAAAAAAAGTTTAGTGATTGCAAACTTACCTTAAACTTTTTTTTTGATAATGTTTATTTATTCAAAATTTTTGTTTTTGGGTTGCATGAATCTTTTATTTATAGTTCGAGTTCTTATTTATTGGACTTTTATTGGACAACGAACATAAAAAGTAGTCGAAGGGACCCAACCATCCTAGACTTTGACGCTTAGTTAAAATTGGTAATTCATAGGTTTTTAGTAATATTTAGTTGGATTATTTTTATTTTATTTATTTAATCTTTATTGCAATGTAGCAAAGGGTAGATTTAATGCCGTACGGCATTCTCTGCTAGTCGACCACTAAGCTTTCCGAATGGTAAGGTCTTAATCATCCTCTTTTTTATTTGAAAGGGTATTAAATAAAACTTTATCAAAATCGGATCAAAAGTTTTGCTTTCCTACCAAACTCTAAGAACTATGTTGACTTCTAAATTATCTTGACGATGTCGTCATCATTAGAAAAATCTAATATGATAATCGTTTTTTTTTAGTCGGTTTTTAGTATTTTTATGTAACCAATACAATAATATTTCAAATACTACACTAAACTATCGGTCACGTGTTAAATGCTTATAAATATTGCATAACAATAAAATATATTACAACATTCACATTAAAGAGTGATAAAAGTAAAAACATCTTCTCCATTTCTCATTTCTCTGAAATCATTTAACACAATATATCAACTCCTCACAATAAATCAGCTGATTTAATCCACCGTTATATTTCCCTAACTCTGTCTAACCTCATTTGGTTTCAAATCTTCTGGAAAATATTTCGCTGTCAACGCATATAAACAGATGAGGAAAAATTGCGATTTACAGACAACAAAAAAAAAGAATAAGCATTATACAATGTCGCATCTCCATAATGATATTCGTGTTATTAAAATAGAAAAAGTTATCTAAATCGTGAAATTGTGCGAATAATTGCATTTACATATTCATTTAGCTGTTGACCTGGTCAAAATGACGTCTATCTTTATGTAAAAACTTTTACGTAATTCTGTTGTTGTGTTTTTTAAAGGCTTAAAGTGCGTGTGCAGTGTCTAAAACGTTATGGTGTTGTTCGATTTATTATCAAACTATGACAATAGTTTTGCATTCGAATTATGAATCGAGCTTATAATAAGCTTATAGTCAAAGTAAACAATTATTATAAGTACTTAAAATAAACCTATCTAATACAATTAATAACCCTTCTAAAACAATTCAAGTTTACTCTATTTTTTTATTGATTATAATATACTAACAGTATTAAATTTCATAATTAAAAAGTTACTTTACAATATTAGTTTAATTTAAACTGAGTTTAAAAATTGGATGAAGTATAATTGTCAGACTATTACTTCGGTGGGTATTAATCGCTCGTGTTTTATTGAATGACCTTTTTACAGCACCGACTGGTTGCTAATAACATTAGCAGATGCGATTGGCAACTTACAGCGTAATTCGCGCATACAACAGGAAGTTTGCAGAGTATCGCAACGCGGCCGTTAGTACCCCGGTCAATATGTAGAGTGGCGAGAGCGATCAATCGTGTTGCGGCGCGGAGGGAACCACCTGTGGAGTGACCCCCTCTACCCTTTCCTACCCCTCCGCCATCGACACGTGACGTCGACGCCGAGAAATCCGCCCAAACGTAAACATTAATTCTTACTTCATTCTTCATTGTTCAGATTGTCGCTCCGCGCCACGCGTGCATTCCGATCTCAAGCGATATTGGTAAACAAAATTGTGACGCGCACGTCACAACTGCCAGTGTGTAACTAACTACCTGGCTGCTTCTTGTAATTAAATTAGATTCAAGGAATTAGTGCGGTTAGTAGAGTTGTAAACTAATACTATGCCTCTATTCGAGTTGTTCATGGTTTCTTAAAACTTGTTACCTTTTACAGTCGTAGACTGAATGGTAACTGTTTATCAAAATAATAAAAGTTGTAGTAAAATAAAAAGTAAACGATAAAATTCTTTTCGTATTGCATAACGGATGTGGTTTCCTGAGAAAATATAGCACGAATAAAACAATGCCCTAAATTTGTATTTATTTCTTTTTATATTTAACAGATCAATAAAAAAAGTCTTAAGACTTAAAAGTTGAACTATAAAAATTCAAAAGTTTGTTTTTTTCATAAATTTGTATTACTTCCAGTATCTAACAAAACAATTATATTCTATGAAACCGCTATTAATGCAATACCCACCCATAGGCAAAACATGTTCAGAATGCGGGTGGTGCGTGGGATAATTGTAGCGGTAGTATCGCGCGTAGGGGTCATGCGCGTGCGCGTAGTAGGCGTGCGTATACGGTGCATACGGCAAGGGCGCACAGTATCCCTCCCAGGGTGCGCCCACGCCGGGATACTGCGCGGGCCCCGCACGATACTCGCCGTACTTGCAGCAGTCCATACCGCGGCCCTAAGCCGCGCGCGCCGCACCCGCGCACACGCATGCTCGCCCCAACGCTCGCGCCCACATCACAGCTACCTCGCACCCAAAACCTCCGCTACCCCGAACCCATCACGAATTCAACACCAAACATCCTTCAAACTTACGAAAAATGTTATCGCTACGATACTACAATAAGTCAATTCAAAAACCGCAAAGAGTTTGGAAGAGTTTGCCGGTCCGAACTCTGGACGAGATCGAGCGCAGTTTCGCGGCGGGAATCGGGCGCGAGTGCGACGTTAGTTAGCGAAAAGAGGTCGTTCGAGTTTGCCGGCGACGTTGAGATACGAGAGTGGCGGGGCGCGGATCGCGAGGGAGGGGCGACGCCCGCTCGCCGGCGACTCGGCGCAGCGCGGCGCTCGACGGACGCCGACTGAAGGCGCCTCGGAATCGATACGCCGCCGCCGCCGCCCGCCTGCCGCCCGCCGCCGCACTACCTGCCTGCGCCCGTATTGCGCGCGAACTTTGTCTTCCCCGACGGAATTTTATATTTAGAACCATGGTGAAACGATTGATCGATACTTTGCACTATTTAATTAGTACACTTTCACTAGGTATTTTAGGACGACATAAACAACGAAAAGCGAAGTTGATAGGCACAATGTAAAGTGAGTGTAAAATGACTTGTCCTCTCGCTCTCCGAGAGGTTTAACGATCGTTATTCAAAAGTATAATAATGAGTTGTTAAAGTTTCAAAGTATCTTTTTAATTGAACCTTCTTCATAATTGGTTATGGAAAATTGTTATTGTGGTTTTCATAGCAAACTGTTGATATATCCAATTGCGGATAGTTGCGAAGTTTTATCGAATTGCGCGTAGGCGGTAGTGACCCACATCGCTGTCCGTCGTCGGTCGGTGGCGCGGCGCACGGCCCGCGCCCTTCGTCCTTCGCCTTCTTAGACCTTAGCGTAAACTTTTGAACAATTTATATACATAAATAGGAAAATGTAGCATCGTCAAAAATATGACCACCATAATTTTGATAAATAAATTTTATTTTAAAACAAGGTAACTACTATTAAAAATTAAGTAAGTTATTTATTTTCTGATACTTTCAAAGTTTTTAAGGTAAATTTTATTATCAAATGTTTAATTATCATTATAGTTATTAGAATACAATTATTTTTTTTAGAAAAATATAGTTTTTGGATCATGTTGAAGTAAAGATATAAACGCGCATGCGCATGTTTACGATTCGATAAGAAAGAAGTTCTATATTCTTTTTTATTCTGAAACTATAAAAATAAATTTATTTTAGTTTAACTCTATTTAATAATTAACCTATTCCATAAATATGTTATCTAATCTTATATCAACATTTTTGTAATGGCAAAAATCTTTTCGACTCTACTTAATTTTTATCATTGCTCATTCAGTGTCTCTCCATATCATATTGAAGGCTGGAATAGGCTCCGAAACTACTGGCCCGATTTTGAAAATTCTTTCACGTTCGGGAAGCTATATCATAAGCTGTAGACACAGGCAATATTTTATCCCATAAAACTGCAAATAAAGTGAAGAAAATAGGAGTGGAAGTTTGTATAGGGAATTAAATCGTTACCATAGTAACCATTGTTTACAATTTAATTTGTCATTGTAATTATATCCGTGTCACGACATGAATCGATATCCAATTCAATTATAAAATGATTTAAGCTGTTTACACAGAAGTAAATACTTTTTCCACTATTTATCCCGCTAAACAGTCCCCTAGGGATCACGCGAGCGAAGCCGCTAACGGAAAGCTAGTATAGATATAAAGTTCATTTTATAACTTGGAATGAAGACTTTCTTATCACCAATTTTTTCTAATTGTTATAAGTAGCTTAACTATAATATTCCATATTTCTAACTTCGAAAAGGAGTTGCATACAAAAAGAGTTTCATTTCACCAATTTGGGAGTTGGATTTCCTAACACCCTTCCATAATGAATGTATATTCCAAAAAATACTAAGCAACGATCATAGGTCCAATAGTTTACACTTGACAATGATGAATCAATGAATCGGGACAAATTCTTTAATAATCTAAAAGTTTAAAGTCAAGTCTTTAAAGTCTACATTTTCGTTAACATAGGTAAAGTTAAGATTTTGCGATGGTAAATTAATAAATAACAAAAAAATATTAATCACAGTCATATAACGTTATATATACCTAACTTTGCAGTTGCGGGTGGTGCGAAACGCGCTTCTCCCACTAGCCCAAGGTCACTACCGTTTATCATCACCTTAATTACAATACCGACTAGTCAATTGTGGTCAATAGAATTTGATTTTTATTCTAAAGACAGCTAAATTAATGACGTCCTTGTAACCTGCAAGCCTAGAAAATAGAAGGAGGTTTCCAATTCACTAGAATCTTTTTAGAGTTTCGTACTTAAAGGGTAAAAACGGGACCCTATCACTGAGATTCGGCTGTTCGTCTGCCTGTTAGTTTATCTGTCACCAGGCTGTATTTCAAGAACCGTGATATATTTTTTAGCATTGCACTAAGTTAAGAGTATACTGTGGTCTAGATCTGATGATGGGCAACCCTAAAATTTGAAAGGGACGCTAAAAGTGTGTGTGTATATATATATATCTAAACTGTTAATTAGTTTTTCTTCTGGTGCATATTATATTCATGATGTGTAGATACAAAGTATAACTCCTCAACTATGATTAGTTAGTGGGCTTTAAATGAGGCTGCAATATAATACTGATGTTTCTTTTATTTATTCACGTGAGCTGATGGTGGAAGGTGCAACATCAGGTAAGAGTTACTTGATAATTCTTTAAGTACAATATAGACCGATGTGTACGAATTAATTTCGTTTAAATAGCTCAAAATTATATATTAGACTAGAAGAATTTAACTAAATTAGTTCATGCTGCTATAAAGCAAACATGGCTAGAGATTTAGGCGGTCGCACCCCTGGAGTGCCAAAAAGCGAAATAAAATACTCGATTACGGTCGGCAACGACTGATTAGTAAGAACGGAAAAATTTTACTTATATATCTATTACAGCTTGAGTTATTATACTTCAGAAATAAAAAGAGTATGCTTTATTAGACGAAAGTACCTATGTCATATCATTATGCCAGTGATATGTATTATTAACTATTAAAATAAGTATATAGGTAGCATTGTGAATGCAAATTCTATCAAATGTCATAAGAAAAAAGAAATGTGTTTTTTATCACACAATTGAAAACGATGAAATTCAATTTCACGCACGTGATTTCGATTGAGACCAGCCCATACATACAAGATCCATTGACGTTTGACATTATACTACCAAAATAAGTATCGGAATATAAACATTATTCAGAGAAAAACAGGACGATGCGCATGCACATACCGTTAGACATTATAACCAACTTCAAAAATGAAGGAAATTCTCAATTCGACTTGATTTTTTTTTCATTGTTTGTTTGTTACGTGATTACTCCGCCAATTATGAATCGACTTTCAAAATTCGACAGCTAAATGGGCCGAGGTGGTCCCATTTACATTTTATCGAAATTGAATCAATAGTTTTCTTTTTATAATAAAAGATATTAATAATAGATATTCCTTTAAATGATTATTTTTATTATATTTATACAGTGTCCCGAATCCTAAACTGTTTTCAAATTGTTAACCTTTAACCTTCATAAACATATTTAAAAGGTTTTCTGAACTGTTCAGTGATTTTTCAGTACTTCCGCTTCACATATTTAATCGAACGAGTAAATGTTGCCTTCTGCGCGTTGACACTTCTATGTGTAGTCCTAGAGATAGATCTCTGAAATGGGTCAAATCTACTACTGAATACGGAAGTCATTCTTTAGAACTTACGTGCATAGAAAATCGCTTGAGATCTTATAAGATAAAGAAATTCTGTTAAAAAAAACCTGGTTTAGTCACCGAAATGCCCCGCTCGCTCTAGAATTACACTTTCTAAAATATCCCGTCGTTGGTAAATTTCCTGGTTCATTTTCACACTTTTTTATAACACATATTTAATCGAATGAGTAAATGTTGCCTTCTGCGCGTTGACACTTCTATGTGTAGTCCTAGAGATAGATCTCTGAAATGGGTCAAATCTACTACTGAATACGGAAGTCATTCTTTAGAACTTACGTGCATAGAAAATCGCTTGAGATCTTATAAGATAAAGAAATTCTGTTAAAAAAAAACCTGGTTTAGTCACCGAAATGCCCCGCTCGCTCTAGAATTACACTTTTTAAAATATCCCGTCGTTGGTAAATTTCCTGGTTCATTTTCACACTTTTTATAACACATATTTAATCGAATGAGTAAATGTTGCCTTCTGCGCGTTGACACTTCTATGTGTAGTTCTAGAGAGAGATCTCTGAAATGGGTCAAATCTACTGCTGAATACGGAAGTCATTCCTTAGAACTTACGTGCATAGAAAATCGCTTGAGATCTTATAACATAAAGAAATTCTGTTAAACAAAACCTCGTTTAGTCACCAAAATGCCTCGCTCGCTCTAGAATTACACTTTCTAAAATATCCCGTCGTTGGTAAATTTCCTGGTTCATTTTCACACTTTTTTATGACAACTAGAATTTTGACTGTTGGAAAAATACTATCCTAAACCAGAAGTGGGTCATTCGATCATATTATATTTATTGAATATTACGGCATTGTACGGATTGTATTCAGCACGGATCCTAAAGTTCTTTTTCTACCCCTTGCCGGAGGGCCTCCAAGATGGCTTAGCTCTAAATATTGTTAAAAAAATTATTGCTTCTTGTTGTTAATACAGACAACACAACATGTTACATATAACAAAAAAATATTTTTTATCATTGTAATTTAACGCCGTGTGTGCAATTATTTGAGCTTATTTAGTTAATTAGACAAATAAATAAGCTCAATTAATTAAATATCTACATATTTTCTTGCATGTAATATGCAAAAAGTATTAAAACCATTATTAATAAAAAATTAAGCATTTTCCAGCATAGCA